CCTTGCATTTCTTCATCGACTGTGACACTGCGAGGCACCGAGGGGGAGGGGAGGCGGGGGTCATATCGAACACGCAGCTGGCTTGGAATGCAGAACCCCTGCAGGCAAAGTGACCCCTGGTGCGCCCCCGCCCAGCGCGCCAACGCCCAACCCCCGTGCAGGTCATTACATCACCAAACAATTATCGCAAAACGGCATCGGAAACGGATCGGCTGCGCTAGGCCCTGCGGTGCGCCCGGGCAGCTAGTCGTGACTTAGTCGTGACTAGCACCTCCGCGCAATACCACCGTCATTAACACGCACTCGGCTCGACAATTATTCGGCGGCGTTCGGAACCGTTCGGAACCCCCCGCAGTTACGTCGGGTCACTGGCGCCGCTGCTGCCGGCACGTTTGCCGTGTTTAACAGTGGCGTGATTCGATGTTTCGCAACATTTCCCCGTCACTCTCGTCGCCTCTCCGGCTGTCAAAAAGAGGGAAAAGGCGGGAAATGAATTCATTCCCTCCCATCATCATTCCGATACAGGACCAGAAGGTGGGTGCGCCACAATAATTGACGTTAACCACTTTTTTTGGCTTCCTCGCGCGTCGCGTTCCGCAACAGTATTTTCTTTTTTCGTGACCAGTGGGAATTGGGTGTCCACGAAGTAACCGCGGGCGTCGCGTTCTGTTTCCAACTGACTGGCGTGCTTCTGATTGGCGCCCAGTGTCGTCACCTTGCACCAATCAGAACACAAAGCCTTCACTCCCGGCACACCTCGGCTGCCTCGGCCCAGCACGAAAGGGCATTTTCAGTGCGCTTTCGGGCGGGGACAAACACACAAGCTCGGGCAAACACACACTCTCTCGCGCTCACTCACACACACACACAGTCACACACGCAGGGACAGCGCCTGCAGGCTGGGCTGGGCAGCTATCTTGGGGGACACATAATTCAGCCCCGCCCAGCACAGCCCAGCACAGCCCAGGCATGTGCCGTAACGCCGTGGCGCGCCGCCCGCAACAGAACAGCCACAAAAGTGTCGCCCAATTTTCTGATTCGTCCCCCTTTTTTTCCCTCGCGTCACGATGAGGAATTGCGCGTGCCGCTCGGCCTTTGCGTGACTGCACACCGGTTGCTTCCCTTCCGTTGATATCCTAGCCCGGCACGAACGCCCGATTTCCATAATTCTCCTATAAGTCATCCTCTACGACATATTGTTCTTCTTTTTAACTGTGCCGCCTCTGTGTGTGTCTGCGCGCGCGCGTGTGTGTGAGTGTGTAGGTGGTGGCGTGAGTTTTCGCTTTTATTCGCGGGCAGTTGGTAACACTTCGCCCTTGCCCCGCGCCTCGCGTCCCCGGGCTGCATCTCGACACGGCCGTCGAGATCTCGACTCGCAGATTCGATTTCGATCGAGCGTATCGCAGCGTCTGGTGGTGACGGCTGGGCGGGACGCGCCTAACGTCTTCTTAATGTCGACACACGCATTCACAGCCCGCGGTGCGGAGGTCCCGGGGGTCCCGATGGCCCCGAAGGCCCCGACCTCGACGCGCAGGGCCGCAGGGCCGCAGGGTGCCGATACGGAATCGATAGCCTGCCGCACGCGGCTCGGAAAAGGCCGATGGGCGGGAAAACGAAAATGACACGTGGTCAATACCCCATGACGCGCGCGCGGCGGGCCTTTCCACGCGTCGAGAGTCCCTCGCGCGCGGAGTATCGACAGCTCGAAAAGCAACAATGGGACAGCAGAAACGCCGAGGAGCGCCGAGAGTGTGACGAACGCCGAGAGGCCCGAAACCTGTCGATGGCCCTGCCAGCCCCGCCGCTTGCACCGCTTGCAGCGCCCCTGGCGGCGGGCGTGGCGACCGCGGAGCCGAACGAGCGAACCCTTAAAAGCGCCGCGACCTTCGCCCATTATTATTGAGCTTTTGGCCGGCGCACGGCACGCTCGCTCGGCGCGCTCGGCGCCGCTCAACAGGTGTGGGCGTGCTGGAGAGAAAGGGGAAGGGGCAGCGCCGGCAGCGAAGGCAGCGCCCGGAGAGCCTGAGCAGACTGTGCAGAGTAGGTGCAGCCTTTTGTCGCCCTCGGCCGAAAGGCACGGCCAGCCAAGCCAGGCAAAGCCAGGCAAAGCCGCACAGGCGTTGCCAGCCTCAGCGTTGCCACAGGATGGGCTCCTCGTCGAACGCCCCGTGCCGTGCCGTGCCGTGCCTTGCCGTGCCGTGCCGTCGCCGCCCGGTGACGCAAGGGTTATGGTCGTGCGCTGCGCGATTTGAACGTTTCCAGACGCTATTCTATCATCCGCCCGGTGTGTGCTTTGCGCTTCGATTTCGAGCCCGATCGGAGCCGAGGTGCTGAAGGGGCTCCGGACGGCAAGCCTATGAGAAATGTGCGTTGCGGATGGTTTCGTCCGGAAGCAATGATAGCTCTACGCGCCAGGAACGGCAAGAAATTAAATTTGCTGACTTTTTTTCCTCACTAGAACTCACTTAGAAACTTTACCGCGAGGATGACTCCTTTTGGAGGTTAGGATCTGCGAGGAACAGTGTCGGGCGCACGAGCGATGTTGCCTCGATGCTTACCGATGGGTCGTGGTCCCGACGGTCCCGATGCTTGTCGAGGCCAGACAGTGCCGTGGCAGTGCCAGGCAGCCGGCGGGCTCGGCACGCAACACGTCATTAACCGCGGCGCCTTGTCGACTTTTTCCCGCCTTTTTTCTGCGGGCCCCATTTGACCGTTTTCCTCCTCGTCGACACGGCCTGACGTGACTTACCCGCCCGGGCTCAAGAGCGAGCTTGTTCTCTTTCCCCCTCTTTCAATAGGTAGCTTTAAATCGCTCCGCAGCACCCGTTCGATTGATCTTTGTTGTTGTTTTTCTTTGCGGTGTGGCGAATAGCGTCGAGCAGATGGCTCGGCCGACACCAGGATATCGCCAATCGGACCTCGTAAACTAATACTCGATGTGTTTACCGGCCGAGCCAGTTATTACTGCTATCACTCACCACTCCGCGGCTCGGCGGCCCGCGATGGGGCGATAACTGTAACACTGGAACACGCCGAGCCGCGCGGACTAGACCCCGCGGACTCACCGAGGCGGACTCGCGGACTCCGGATTGGACCCCCGGGGTGTCCTGGGCACACAAAGTCGAATCGATGGTTTTCGAGTGTGTGTTCAGCAGCGGCGCCCGTCTGTCCGTCCGCGTTATTGGCAACCGTAATAAAGTCACTTCCCGGCACGAACGGCCCGCCCCGCCCCGCCATGCATGTCCAGACAGATCGGTATCGGAGGATGCTCCAGCTTGAGGCGGAACAGGCCGTGCCATTGGCAGGTCGTCGCGGGGTCAGAGGATCACCCGGGGCGACGAGGCCAGTCTTCTGCCGCATAATGTGGCCGTTGCTGTTGTTCCAACCGTTCGACCGCTGCATAAGCACCCAGCAGGAGGCGGAGCAGGCGAAGCAGTCCATACGGGCATCGAAGCACCGCACTAAAATCCACGCACCGAAGAGCACCAAACGACTGTCGAGAGGACAGGCAACAGGAGAAGGCACTACGCGTCTATGCTTAACTCGTTTGTTTATACGCAGCCCAAAAAATAAAAATAAAAATTTTGATTTTTTTTTTTTTTAGCAGGTGATTGTTAAATTAGCTAGCTTTGACTCTCTCGATCGCAGCCAACAGTTTTGCATTTTTTTAAATTTTGCTGGAAGTAATTTTTGTTTTGCGGTGCGCGGTAAGGCACCTGTGGCCAGTCTTGAGACTGGTCAGGCCAGCCGGGCCAGCCACACGACACGTGAGTGTGAACTGGGCCAGCCCGGCCGGCCCGGCCAGCCTTTGCATGGGAAGCGGACCGCGGCGTCCAGTGCGCCACGGGCATTGCCGCGGTGCCGCGTCGCCGCGTCCACCCAGACCTTTGTTGTTGCACCTCGGGACAATTAAAAGACGCTACCCTCCGCGCCGAAAGATTCTCAAATGTTTCTTGCGAGCGCGCTCAGGTCAAGTTACGCCGGTTACGCGTTGTACGTACCAGTACACGTGCGCGGACTAGCGGTGATTTTTTTTTTTTTTGCGTCACGGTCGCGTTTAGCGGTGTGTAGGGCGGGCGGCGCGGTAGGTGTCGGGTATGGAACCCTGTCGTGCCGTGGCGTGCCGTGCCCTCCAAAGCTATAAATTGAGTGGGCCCGCGCGCCGGCGGGGCAGACCTCTGCTGTGCAAATACCACCCACCACCCAGCCAGCATGCCCACCAGCGGCAGCAGCTTCCTCCATTGCACGACCAGGTTTTGCATGCAGGCAGGCGCCTTGAGTTCGACCTTAATCGAATTCAGATTTGGCATTACCAAATTCACTCTCGGGCCGTAGAGGGGAACTCTGAGGCCGGCGGTCGGGGGCATCTCGGCCCGAGTGGCTTCGAGTGGACAGTCGATATTCAATCTCTAGCAGAGTCGGATTCGTTTCCCGGGCGTTGCACCGTCGCGTCCGCTCGCTCCACCTGCAAGAGCCCGACAGCTGGACAGCTGGGGGGTCAGTCTGCCGCCCACGCACCGCCCCACCTACGTCGACGGGACGTCCACTCGGTGGCTCAGGCGGCAAAGAGGCTGATAACCGAAGTCACTGATCGCAGGTTCGATCCTTCGATCCACAAAGCGCCACAAATAAATAGCCTCGCCTTTCAGCACCGTGTGCAAGAGGACTGTGTCATGTTTCAGCACAAACTGTGCGGGAACCGTCGCTTGTTTTGTGCGCGCTTTCGGTTCAAACACAAAGGCGCCCTTTCCATGCCTTCCCTGCCCTGCCCTTTGCAGAGGAATAATTTTCAGCCCTCAAACCCACGTTGCTTTGACGCCCTTTCGAAGGGCCATTCATCATTAATCCGGAAAACGTTGGATAAAGAACGTGATACGTTTTGCACCCCGAAAGAGTGTAAAAATTAATGACTTTGTGTTTGCAGTGCATGCAACTGCAGTGTTTTTCTGGTCTTTTTTTTTTTTTAAGGAAAAATTTTAAAGTTAATTTTTGAGACTCACCCCGCGAGTCACAGGAAGCCGGTCAGTGCTCCGCCGGCGGTAAATCCCAGAGTGGTGGCACTGGACGGCACTGGAAGGCACTGGAAGGCACTGGGACGCGATCGGCGCGAGGTTGGCGGCGCGGAGCACGCGAGCAGCACGGCGGCGCGCTGGAGGGGCTCGAGGAGAACGTGACCGTCCCGACCCAAGTACGCCCGCACACTGATGGGGCACCACGCTGGATGCAGCCTCCAGACGCTCGGCGGCTCCAGCCTCCAGCCGGGCGGGCCGCGCCGCGCCGCTCCAGCAGTGGGGGCACCCTGGCGTAGCGGGCGTCGCGCAGCCCTGGCGCCCTCCAGCCTGCAGAGACTGTCCAGCGCCACTCGGAAGCAGCGTCTGCCCGGCCGCCTGTCACTGCGTCCTCCTGCCCGTCTGTCCGTCCGTCACTGCGTCTGTCCGCCCGGCCGTCGTGACGCCGGCTGTCCCCTGGGCAGTCCTTTGCCATGATTGGTCCCGGCAGTGCAAATAACGTGCGGCCACGTTTCCTGCCGGGCTGGCCGCCCTGGGCCCTGCCGCCCTGGGCCTCTAATCGCTCGACGTGACGCGACGTGACGTGGTCTCGACGTGTCCGCGTAGACTGCCGTTTGCAGCGTTTGGAGACGGAAGCGGTGCGTCGCGACAGTGCGAAAAGGACGCGGACGCGGCCTTGCAGCGCCTTGCAGTGCAGGGCATCCCTCGCCGCCTCACTTTGGCGGCGAGCAGAGCGAGCACGGCAGGCGGAAGACAATTTGGAGGCGTTTTGCGCGCGAGCGCGACAAGTCGCCCCTCTCGCTCCACCACGTCCTAGTCCTGGCCCAGCGCCCAGCCCATAGGTCAACAGTATTCTCACGACCGTCAGAGCTCCACATGCGGCGGCCTCCAGCAGCAAGCCGCAACAATAGTAATCGACAACATTGTATGGAGTATCGTTTGCAACAAGGATGCCGGCCCGGCCGCGGCGCCGCGCTGCCGGCCCGGTAATGAGTGCGAGCGAGACGGCGGACTGGCGCTCTCTCCGTCGCACTCATTGGGGTCATCACCCAGGCGCCGTATGAATACGTAATGTGCTTCGGCTCCCGTACGGCACGGCGCGGCGCGGCTCGGCACGGCTCGGCAAGGTCCTAATTGGCCGTGGGAAGGGCGCGGGCCTCGGCGGGTCTTCCTGGTGCCGGAGAACAAGACCTAGAGGTGCTCAAAATCGGGCAGGGGGGCCGCCGCCGTATTGGCCGCCATCGGTTCCCACACAGGGGGCCGCTCTACCCGAGTCCCGCCGCCGTGCCGTCATTGCTTTAACCCAGTGTACCGTCGGTGATTTACTCGGCCCGCGAAACGCGAATCAAAGGGCAGCTATCGGACCCATAAATACATCACGGGACTGATGCCGCACGCCGCACCGCGTTGTCTAAGAAGCTCGTCTGCCTGTCCGCCTGTCTGTCCGCCTGTCTGTCCGCCTGTCTGTCCGTCTGTCCGCCTGTCTGTCCGCCTGTCTGTCCGCTCTGTCTGTCCGCCTGTCTGCCCGCCTGTCTGTCCGCCTGCCTGTCCGTCTGGCGCGAAGGGCTCGCCTGGTTACGGCCCGTTAGGTCGATGCGCCTTGCACCGCCCCCGCGGTCCCGGCGGTCCCGGCTCGCGGCCCACGGAGCGAGGCACGCCGGCCGAAAAAGAGCGCCGCGCCGCGCAGTGCCGTCGGGGATCGAACCCGGGAACATGGACGCGGGCCCCGCCCTGGAGGTGGTGTCCACGACCAGGAACCTCGTGACGCTGGCGTGGGGGCCGTCGGCGTCGGCCGGCCTCCGGGCGGGCCGCATGGCGTCCTCGGCGTCGCAGGACTCGGCGCCGTCGGGGCCCTCGGCGCACCAGTCCTCGGGGCACACGCCGCGCGCCCCCACTCCCGGCACCGCCGCCCCCGGCACCGCCCTGGCCATGACGGGGCTGTCCGTGGAGTCGCAGGGCAGCGTCTTGTAAGCGGGCAGCGTTTTGCGGCCGTTTCGGCACCTTTCGGCACCGGGCGGGGACGTGCATGATTTGGGTCCGCTGGAGACAAAGAATGCGGCCGCGTTCAAGACTCTAGAGCGACGGACACGGATGTCGCAACACGTGTGTCCCGGTCCCGCCGTGGGCAGCGCGGCGAGGCGCGGCGCAGCGTGTCTCGAGTCTTGAGTGCCATAGGGCTCGGGGGGGAAACACCCACATCAAGAAACTGCTTCATCAGAGTTCGCCACGCCACACGCCATGACACATCGCCGCCAAGGACAGGAGGGCCATGAGGAGGCTAGGGCGCCGCGTGCGGCCGCGTGCGTTGGCCAACGACAAACACTGCCATACCCTGCCAGGCTGGGCCCGGTCTGCTCAGAGTGTCGCAGCCGGCCATAATTTGACGGGATCCCTGTCAAGTCGAAAATTAATTTGCCGTTTGACGTATATTTGTTGTAATTCAGACAAAGTAAGGGCCCTGCATGTTTTTTGGACAGCGAGGTTTTAATCTTTTCTATTGTTTCCACAATGTTCTCAAATTTAAGGGCACTGACAATGCTTTGATTGGCCAAGAGACATCAGTCTAGAGAGGCGACTGGCCATGATTGCACAAGGTGTTGCTAAATCCCCCCCCACTTGATAAAATTGATGATTGTTTATTTCTCGTTCCCATACCGCAGTGACACCGACGACAAACCGGACTACCGCCTGCAAATCAGGGAGCGGGGCAAGCCGTGGCAGACCGTCTACTGGTGAGCACAGCCTAGCCGACTCTGGCATTTCATCCCGTTTTATTGTCGTTGCTTCTCCGCGGGGCGCTACACTGCGATACACGCTACGGACGGGTCACCGCGACGTCATGGTGGGGACGCGAGTTCGACACTGGGATGGCGTCGGCATGCTCCGTCAGGTGGTAGTCGTTGACGTGCGGCCCGAGCCCGAGTCCCTCCGAGTCCGCGCGCGCGGCCCGCGAGTGCCCCAGCGGTCGCGGTGCAGGCCGTGCACCAGCACGCGGCGCGCCGGGCCCTGCTCGGACGCCACGTGCGCGGACAGCACCTCGGCGGCGAGGACGAAGCCGGCCGCCAGGAGCCCCATGCCGAGGATGGCCAAGGCCACCAGCATCTGGTCCATGTTGGTGACGTCCCCGTCGGCGGGGGTGTTCTCGCCGCTGGCCGAGCCGGCGGGGTGCAGCGTGTTGAGCCAGTACTGGGGCAGCCCGCCCGACTGCAGGCGCCGGATCATGGTGTCCAGCAGCAGGCCCAGCGGGTCGTCCAGCCGCGTGAACATGACGAGCTGCGGCAGCGCGGCGGCGGGAGAAAAAGGAGTTAAAGATAACTGCCACAAAAACTGCCGGCGAAGTGAAGCGGCCTCACCTGCACCGTCTCCAGCGGCTCGCGCAGCGCGTACGAGCACACCTTGAGCTCCACGATCTTCTTGCCCCAGGGCGAGATCTGGGAGAACGACAGGCCGTAGGTGGAGGCGCGGTCGGCCTGCGACACGAAGGCCCAAAGGGTTTGGACGTCATCTCAAGCGCTCAAAACAGCGGGCGTGGATCGAGGGGCAGGGGGTGGGGGCGTCGCTCCCCTTGAAGGTAGGCGACAAGTCGTAGGTTGGCAACTTTTGAGACATCCCCCCACCCTTGCCAAAAAGTGGGACTTTCCTCTGCTCTCCTCCCAGCCCGGCCGAGCCGGCCGAGTCACCTTAAACCTGACGAGGCAGTCGCTGAAGTTGGTGTCGCACGTGTGTGCGCGCGCGGCCACGCCCTGCAGCTCCGGCGCGCTGGCCGCGGCCTCCCTCAAGTTGGCCAGCAGGATGGACGCGCTCATGCCCAGGTTGACCCCCAGGCGGCCCAGGTCGCTCAGCGTCTTGATGCGCCCGGCGTTCGGGGAGCTCGTCAGCTCCGCCGTGATGGCCGACTTGAGGTAGATGTTGACGATGAGGACGAAGAGGAGCAGCTGGCCGAACAGGCGGCGCTGCACCGCGAACTGCGGCTCCATGGGCTGCTCCAGCAAGACGGCCACCACCTGCGCGGTGCCACACACCACGGTCATGCTGTAGTCCGCCACGGACCTCCCCCTCCCCTCGCGGCTGCAAGGCTTACCTCGAGCGCCCCCAGGCCGCGCTTGGCGGCGACGACGTGCTGCGGGCAGGCGCCGCCCAGCGCCCCGGCCGAGGCCCTGGCCCTGCGCACGACCAGGTCCACGTGGCGGCCCATCAGCACGCTGGCGAAGTAGGCCAACAAGGTGGCCGTCAGCAGCATGAGGATTTTGCGGTGCTGCAGCACGTGCACCAGGCCGATGCGGGCCGTGCTCTCCCCCGACGAGCAGCGCAGCACCACGCCCACGTTCACGGTGGTCAGCATCACCGTGGGCCGGAAGTACTTGAAGCAGGTTAGGGTCAACAGTCGACAGCGGGTGCTCAAATCACTCCAAATTTATCCCAGTTTAAGTTACTGTTTACTCGCTGGAATCCGACGCGACGCCACCGGCGCCACTCACCTCGAGGCGCTCCGCGGTGGGCAGCAGGATGAGCGCGACGTCCGCGTCGTGGCGCTGCAGGTAGCCGAAGAGGCCCTGCCACGTGCCGTCGTCCAGCTTCTGGTTGACGTTGGAGTCCGCGATGGAGATGACGACCTGGGCGCGCAGGCCGCGCACCGAGGCCCCGATCAAGCGGCCCGACAGCTGTATCGTGTTGGGGGCGAGCACGGCGCGGATGGGGCAACCTACAACCAGGGGCGTCCACCTGCGGGCCGCCAGCGTGCCCAGGACGGCGTCGTCGGCGTCCCAGTGCGCGCCGAGCCACGTCGCCACCCTCGCCACTCGGCCCACGCGAGCGCGCGAGCACTGCGCCTCGCCCGCCAAGGGCTGCACCTGCACGGCGAACAGAGCCACGTCCGTCGGGCCGCGCCCCGGCGACACCAGCGCCACGTTGTCGATGTACTCGTTGGCCAGGGCGGCGAAGGCGACGGCGGGGTCCGCGCGCGTCACCACCAGGAACACGGCCGTGCTGTTCCACCAGGGCAGCGCGCGCAGCGACGGCACCCAGGACCAGGCGCCGTCCTCCGCGGCCCCCGCCACCACGAGGAAGCCGTGCGCGGGGCCGTGGAGGTACGCGTCGCCGGCAGGGCGGCGCTGTCGCTCGCTCGGCGGGCCCGGGCCGGACACGACGGCGACCTGCAGCCCGGACACCACCTCGCCGAAGGCCTCCAGGACGCCCTCGTCGTTGGTGGCGTCGCCGGCCGTCCGATTGCCGCCGTCGAAGAACACCACCAGCAGGCGGCTCTCGTCGAACATGCGGAGCAGCAGCGCTCGCACGGGAGCCGCCATCCGCGCCGATCTGCTGGCGGCCACGGCGGGGGTTAAGTTCAAATCCCCCAACGCACTCCTCGCTGTTTTGTTTACCGCCGCCACGACTCACCTGTGGGACGTGGCGGACGCCAAGGAGCCCAAGGAGCACCCCCCGAGCCTGAGGCACACGGTGACGAGCACGACGACCGACAGGGCCAGGGGGCTCCGCATGGGTCGCACGCCAGACCGCCGAGACGCGGGTTCGAGTACCAGCGGGGCCGCTTTTTCATTCAGGGCCGCGGCCCGAACTAACCCCCCGCATCGCGCATCGCGCCGCGAGGCCGCGCCTCCCGGGCACCCCGTGCATCTGACGGTGGCAGCCGTAGAGTGAGCGCCCCACCGCCCCACCGCCTCGCGGCCGCCGAGCAGCGACGCCCCTCCGCCCCCTCCCCCTCGGATGGCGTGCGTCCTATTGTAATGGAACATTCATCATTTCCATTTTAGAAGGGGCCGAAGGAACGGGCAGCGTAAAAGCAGTGAGGCCCGCGGGGCTAAAAGCAGTGTGCCGCGCTAATGCCCTAGCTGCCGCGCGGTCTGGCACGGTCTTCGCTAATAGCATCAGCGTGGGGCATCGCGCACTGACCTCCGGCCGACTGATTCGACTATCATCACTATCGTCGCCCCGTCTCTCACGCACCTCTGCGGGACGCTCCATGGGTGCGACAGAGACAGAGCGGCGGCAGCGATGTCTGTACTCTTTCCCTGTACTTGTGAAGGCTGCGTGAGGCGCGCCCGGCAGCAGGCAGTGCCGGGCTGCACGAAGGGCTGCCTGCCGCCCGGGCGCTCCCCGCTGCAGTAGCTGCAGTGACTGCAGTGCTGCAGTCCGTGAAGCTGGCAGCGCGTTGCTTTCCTTTCCAGGGGCTTCAAGACGCGGCTGGAGCTGGACAACATGGCTCCGGGCGACAGCTTCCACTTCCGGGTGCAGCGAGGGCAAGGCCCCTGGAGCAACACCTTGGCGGCGACCACCAAAGGTACTCGGACTAGCGTGGTCTGGAAATGGCTGCCAAATGGCCAGTACCGCGCATCAGCCACCACTCCGTAAAAAAGTTACTGAAATGATGTTATCAGTCAAAAACAACTACAAAAACGGTCTTTTCCCGCCAGACGACCAGGCCCCGATGGTGGCGCTGCACAGAGCCATCAGTCAGGGGCTCCCACACCGAGCCCGCAAGTTCCTGTCACAGAGGTATACACTCTCATGACCACACTTTGTGGTGCCATTATTTCTATTCTGTCTGTCTCGGGTAATGGCGCGCAGGCCAATCGACACATGCTAAGCGAAGACGATGATGATGATAATGACGATGATGATGATGATGATGATGATGATGATGATGATGATGATGATGATGATGATGATGATGATGACAATGATGATGCAGGCCCCTGGCGGTGGACGTGCCGGACCGCGCGGGCCGCACCGCGCTGCTGCTGTCCGTGCTCCGCGGCGACCCCGAGCTGGTGTACCTGCTGCTCAACGCGGGCGCCGACCCGAACCACCCGGCCGAGGGCGCGGCGCACCGCACGCCGCTCATGGTCGCCGCGCACCAGGGCATGGCCAACCTGTGCAGGGCGCTGCGGGACCGGGGCGCGCGCTGGGACGTGGCCGACAGGTGGGCGTCAAGTGTTTTCCGCGGGCATTTCGTTGTTTGTCCTCTTGTAGAACTGTGTGCACTTTGTGCTCCAGGAACGGCTGCACGGCGCTGCACTACGCCGTGGCGGGGGCGGGGGTGACGGGCCGCCTGGGCGCGCGGCCAGCTGACGGCAAGGACGGCGCGGACGGCAAGGAGGACGTCGTCAGGATGGCCCTGGAGGACGGCGCGGACGTGCACGCCAAGGACTCCCACGGCTGGACGCCGCTGATGCGCGCCGGTACGGTGCATTGGCTCTTTCACCTGCAGACTGATTCCGATAGTCGTTTTCGTCGCTCTGCCACTCTCGCACTCATGGGGCATTCCCTATAGGTGCGAGAGAGACAGCGACAAAAACGATCCTCGGAATCAGGGACTGGAACCGCCAACCGCTGTGCATTTGTCTGACACGAACGTGGTCCTCTGACGCCCTGGCGGCCCTGGCGCAGTGCTGCTGGGCGCGAGCGTGCGCGTCCTGACGCTGCTGCTGCAGGGCGGCGCCGACCCCCGGCAGCTGGACAAGGAGGGCCAGTCCGCGCTGCACCTCGCGGCCCTCGGCGGCAGGCAGGACGCGGCCGCGCTGCTGGCCAGGCACGGCGGGGACCTCCGCGCCAAGTCCCGCCACGGCCACTCCGCCAGAGAGCTGGGCCGCTGCTGGCCGCTCAGCCTCGCGGTCCGTGCCACTGTACTGCTCCCTTAACAGGGAGTGGAGCCCCAATCTATTTTCGAAGCCAACACTGCTCAACCTTCATTTTAAAAACATGTTTTGGTCGGCAGGATGGAGCCAATAAAGGTGGAGTGGATGCGACTTTGGCTGTGGCGACTGCTGCATCGACGATGCTCAAGAAGAGGGCAGCTCGACGGAAACAGGAGGAACTGGATGAGCAAATTTAAAGAAAACTTGGGAAATAGTGAAAAAAAATATAAACATTTGAGACTAGACTCTTTCAAAATATATTTAAAAAATAGTTCATCACATTCTATAAAAAGCTGTCCCTTGACCAACTCCAGACAGAAATACATGACAAAAACTGCATGTGTTGAGTGGTGTTGCTGTACAATACTTTATTGGGACAGTATTTCTAGGGCAAGATTAAAATCGACAGACACATGGCACACTGCATAGATCAACAACAAACTCTAATTGATGAGCTAAGAAGATTTTTATAAACATCTAACTGTACCTGAGGAAGGAATGCTATCATGACTTGAATTTGTAAGATGACAACCAGATAAAAGCAAAAAGTACTAAAACTAATTACAGAAATACTGATTTACCAGGAGTTAAAATGTCTTCAGTCAATGTGTCATATCCATATTTACAGGACACTTAAGTCAGAATATATTCAAAAAATTTATAGAGGTAAGTGCATGTTTCAATTTTATTCTAAAAAGCATAGTGCTTTACCACTAATTCATTAGTGGACATATTGGAAGTGGAAGCTTAGTGATAATGGTCTGAGGGTTGCTACCTCCCTTTAGACCAAGAAAAAAAATAAAAGTTTAAGTTCATAGCTTGCAAAGAAGTAAAAGTCCGACTAGGCCACAGATTGAAAACAGAGAGCAGATAACATAATAAAAACTAGTATAAAAAAGAAAAAGACAAAACATTTTTTTAAAAATTAAAGAAGATTAAGAAGATTTCTAAACGGTCTGTTTTCCTATTTATACGTGGTCCCAAAGCAGCTCTAAAACATAACAGGTCACACTGCTTGATTTGAATTCATATTATTAACAGATCAAAGCACTCCTTTAGTCAGATGGTTTACAAATAGGAATAACACCAACACCAACTCCTCCTTCATGTGCACACATGGCTGCTACAAAGGACCAGGTATCCTTCTGCGGGTCATAGACTTCCACAGTTGACAGATTTGAGTTCCCATCATATCCTCCTATTGCCCAAAGTTTTCCCATATTGGCTACAAGAGCAACCCTGCTTCTCATCACATTCATTGGAGCGACAAATTTCCATCTGAAAATATTTTCAAAGTTACACTTACACTCAAAGGTCATAATTAAAAAGATATTTGATGAAAGATACTTACTCATTTATAGCTGGATCAAACATTTCAACAGTTTGAAGAAAAGTTGACCCATCATATCCACCACATACATAGATCTTCCCATTTAATGTAGCAACACCAAGGCGACAGCGTCGGCTGAGCATTGGCTTGACTGTTGTCCAGCGTTGAATAAGAGGATCATACCTTTCCACCTGTAAAAAGATAGATAAAATGGTGAATTATACTAGCATTCTTGTTTGAGCTCACATACATTAAAACTTGCAAACTGGACTCACTGAGTCAAATATAGACAACCCGTCATGCCCTCCAAGAGCATAAATATATCCCTCAAATGCAACAACACCACCAGCACTGCGGTGCTTCACCATGGGTGCGATCAATGTCCACTCATCTTTGTCTGGTTGATAACACTCAACGGTATTGAGTGAAGTTATTCCATCGTAGCCCCCACACACGTACAACATATCATTGAGAGCAGCAGCTCCAACAGCACTGTGATCATAAAGAAGTTCAGGGCTTACTTACAAAAGTAATCGGTCTTTTAAAAAATAATGACAAGTTTTCTTGCAGAACTGACCTTCTCTTGCAATGCATTGGGGACACCCTACTCCAGACCCTCTCAAGAGGATTAAATACTTCAACAGTAGACAATCTTTCGGTTCCGTTATATCCTCCAAATGCATACAATCTATTGCGCATAACTGCTACACCAACTCTACTCCGTAACATTGTCATGGCCTCAGCCATCTGCCATCTTTCAACAAGTGGGTCATAAACTTCAACCGTGCTCAAAGAATCACCTAAAATAATGTAAAGAGACAAAAAGTAATAATAAATTAGCAGAAAAAGAGGATAAATTGACAGAATAAAATTTATATCTTACCTGACTTTGTCAATCCTCCAACAGCAAATATATGGCCAATGATATAGTTGCAGCATCTGGGACGTGTGCGGAAGCACTGAAGAAGAGGTCTTCTCTCGGGCATTAAATGATAGTCTCTAGCTTCGTCCAAGAGGTCACTACATTACAGAAAACATGACTTAATAATAACCAGATACTTCTTCAGAAATAAATAAAGCTTATGTAAAACTCACCGGCACTCATGGGAGGTACGTATGAGCTCTTCTGTGGCAACCCTATCCGCTAAATAATGAGGAGACAACAATGGCAAGCGGACTTTGCTGAGGATGGGCAGCAATTCCTTTTTACGCCCATGTGGGTCTTTTTTAACCCAATTCATTACAGCTTCAAACACCTACGAATATTTAAAGAAATTAAATTACGATGGATTAAAACTTATTGCAAACACATATATGGCAAAACATGTACTAACCTGTTCTTCTGATGTCACATGCAGTTCATCTCTATGAATAATATCAGTGAGCTCCTTGCAGCTCAGGGAGAGGAATTCATCTGAGCTTGAAACATCTTGGAAATATTGCTGCAAATATTTATCAGCGGATTCTACAAGAGGTGAACAGCCCAGCGTATCAGCAAAGGCTCGTATTCCTAAGACATTTTGAGGGTGAAATCTGTTGCAGGATGAATGTGTGAACGTGTTTATAAAGGCAAAGGATGAATATCAATCAAATAAATTACAATTTATGTGTTTTCACCTTTTTTTGAGGAAATCTGCGCAAGCATTTCGAACTTGAGTCAACTGAAGAAATGAAGCTCCAACCATTAATGATTGCACATTATTCACATCAATAGTTATATGTCCTGAGTATGCAAAGTTCACTAGAGATTCCAAGGCTCTACAAAAAAAAATGAAGGCAGCATATTACAAACTTGCACCCCATGTAAGGCTTGAAAAAAGTAAGACCAGCTTGTTACTCACAATGCCTCAATGCCATGGATGGTGATGTCACGTTGAGTGCTTTCGACCATGTCATTGGTGAACATGGCATGAAAGTAGGGAATATTTGCCGCGAGAACGATTCGGTGAGCACTAAAAGACTGGTCATCCACCTAAAACAAAATAAAGAATTAGAATTGGAAAACGGCTACTTCCCCTCTATCATCAAATAAGTCAAAATACAATCCCAGTATAATTTGTTGGCATAGTACCTTGAGGGTAACATCACAGAGCTTTCCCTGTCTTCTAATTTCTTCCATGATGGGGAATCCATTGAGAAACAAGTCATCTTGTTGGTAAATAATGTGATCATCTGAGGGCGACAGTACTGGACTTTTCAGTACTGGCAGAGAGCATAATGATCCTGACAGGTTAAAGCGTGGCTTCAGCTGCGAATTTTCCATTTCCATCAAAGAGTCCATGAAATTTTTCATGACTGACGATTTAAATCGAGACGAAAATTTGGTAAACAAATCATCATTTCACAACAAGAGCCTAACCATTTTCATTTTCTGCTTGCACTGTCATTTTCTTCTTCATTGTGTTATTCTTCCCTCCCAGTGCGCCTTCCTAGAGGCCTGCCTCTACGCCTTCCTCTTCCTCCACAACATTTTTCACCGCGTTCCGGTGGTTCCGGTTTGCGTTTCGCGTGGAGTGTTTGACAGTCTTTCACGTGGTACCCCTTTTCTTTTCGTGTCGAGTGAAAATTACTGAACAATTTATGCTGGAGGAGTAAACGACGTAAAATCCGCACGGACTCCTCGCCCTCGCGAGGCGCCACCTAGCGGCCGTTTCGTTGGACTCCCCTCCCCTTCCTCGTGCTCGTTGTCTGCCGGGTCGCCTCGCCCGCCACTCCACTCCACTCCACTGTCAGTTTGCGTCGAGTTTCGGCCACACTCGCCTCGTTTCCCCTCGCCGTGTCGGTGAATGAAGTGTTTGTGTATGGACGCGCTGTGACGCTCTTGCTGTGGAATTAAGCGGGCCGGGCCGCTGATAAAATAGTGTATCGCTCCTTGTAGCGAAAGCCAAGTGTTCGTCAGGGTGTTGTGCCGTCCACGCCGCCACACCTATGGATTTAGACTTCTAGCAGAAGATACGGTCATCGGTCGTTGTCTTCTGACAGGGGGATTTAACAGGTTCGTGAAAATGTAAACAAAGCCGAGTTGTCGCGCATTGACCTGCCATCGTCCTGTGTGCTCACCCCGCATGAATGGTTTTAATTGACCAAGACGAAAACGAGTTGTCTTGTGATTCAGATCAGATCGCTGGTTGAGAATAGTATGCATCTGTCACTTGAGTGACACTCTGTAGGTTAGGACGCAAGATGCAAATGCTCATAACTCTGTATCCATTGAAAATTTAATCTCTTTCAACTTGTCCACGTTGTTTTCTGATGTTGGTTCTTTTCTTTGTTTCTTAAAGTCTACGGTACTGTGTGTTACAGTGTAAAATCATTTTGAGCGTATATTGTACAAGTACCCTTTCAAACACTTGCGCCTAGTTAAATTTTATTCTAATGTGACAAGTGCAAAATGATTGTGCTTAGAATTCACACAATGTGTGCTGTAACAGACAGGCCGGTCTGTAACGGCTATGAGCTATAATTATGGCAAATAACTGTTAAATTATGGACACCGCTTTTTGTGGCCTGGCAGTTCCAACCATCTAACTCCAATTTCACTGGATGATTTATATGGGAGTGTTTAAACATTTTGTGTCGATTTTCATTCATTCAGTCTTCTAAATTCGTCAAAATTTATTTTTATTTCTCTATTAAATTTCGCGTTTTTTGTTCGATGCAGTAACTGGGTCTGTTCTAAAGTGAGCAGGGGTTGCATGGAGGGAAGGAAAATGAAGCCAAAAGCAAAATTGTGACAGTGAAGGGGTGAAGTGGGTGGGGAGGGGGAGGTGGAGGGGAAAGGGGCGTTGCAGTGGTGCAGGGTAGAAAGTGGAGCCCCGGCCTCTGCAGTCACCCCACCCCGCCACACCCCACCCCCACTCCAGCCGAGCCGCCCCTCGAGGCTCGAGGTGTGAGTCACCTCGGCGCGGCGGCCGCCTCTAGCCGCTCACCCCTACAACCCCGACCCGGCCGCAGCCGCAACCCCAGCCCTAACCGCCCGAGCCCCTAGCCCTCAGCCCCTTGCTCATGGAGCGCAAGATCGATATCGAACCCGAGCACGAGGGTAGGGTGCAAGGGGTGCACGAGGGAGCCGGCGTTAATTTTAGCGCCCCGTTTTGAACCGGTCGCCGCTGTTCCTACCGTTCCTGGGCGCCATGGACTGGCCCGCCGCCAGCTGCACTCCTGCACTGCAGGCTGACGCGAGGGCGGGGCGCCGCGGCCAAGCGCGAAGCCAGTGAAGCGGACGCCGCGGACGGGGCGCCGCCGGTGGCGTGCTGGATGCACGCGGTGCAGCGGCTGGCGGCCGGTGGGTGGACCAGCCGACTCATTCCGTCGCTCTGTCTCTGTCGCTCTCACAGGGCGCCCCGTGCCGGTGCGAGAGAGACAGAGCGAAATCAGTGTGCTGGTGGACAGACGCACCGGACAGGACAGCGCGTATCGCGCATGCGGTGGCGCCCCACTGCAATATGATTGCTTACGCAACGGCGCTGCTGGTGGGACCACTGCAGACTGATTCCACGCACGGCGTTTCGCCGCTCTGTCTCTCTCGCACAGCCAGGAAAACAACGGGCGGCGTCAGCCTGTTTGGGACTGCTGCTGCTGGGTGTGGACCCCGGTGGCGGTCGCGATGCAGTATCTGCTCCGATCTGGAAGGTTTGGCGGTGGTCGCCATTGGGTGCCCGCTACTGGTGGTCCTTGGCGGGCCTCGATCCTGCCTAGCAGCCTGGCCCGGTCAAGCGGGCCTTGCCCTAGATGAGCCTCGTCTCCGCGGTCCGAAGCGGTGGCGGCGTTGTTTGCGGCCAGGCCCGTCATTTGGGCCCCTTACTTTTAATCTGTGTAACGACGCGCTCTCCAGGATTAGTTCGGTCGGGGATCGCAGGCGCCGCCTCGCCCCTTTCCCCCCACCCCGCCCCGCCCCGCCGCCGCGTCCAAGAAATGGAAACTAGATGCGTGGTCATGTGTTGATAGCCGGGCTGAATAGATTCTGGAGTCTCGCTGGGCTGGGCTGGCCTGGGCGGCATGCCGAAGTACACTGATGGAAACGGGCGTGGAGCGGACGTGCGTTGTCCAGCAGGCCGATGTCTCTCTCGCACCCGTTACGAACGTCCCGCGAGTGCGACAGAGACAGAGCGCGTCGCGGAGGCAGGAGGCGGGCCGAAGTGAGGCGGACGGATGGACGGTGTTTGGGCCACGGATGCCGAGGGGCACCGAGGGGCTGAGGGGGCCACGCGGCCAGCAGGTGCCTTGGCCGCGCCGCCACGCCGCCTGCTTTGTCGCGGTGTCCTCGGACCACGGCGGACGGGCGGACTCGTGTGCCGAGCAGCACGCGGCATGCGGCCGCTGCGGTCAGTAGACGGAGTCGTTTTCGTCGCTGTCTCTCTCGCACCCAGACGGGACGCCCATGAGAGCGAGAGAGAGACAGAGCGACGACTCGCGGATTCGGCCTACAAGCCGCCAAGATCACGGCCGGCCGGCCGGGTGGACGCGGACGGACGGACGGACAGACGGAGCGAAGGAAGAACAGGAACGCACGCATTTGGCCGACCGACTGATTCGGCACGTCACGCTCGAGTCGCTCTGTCTCTCTCGCGCTCGGGGCGCGGCTGGCGCGGCCCGCCAGAGGTGCGAGAGAGACGCCCTGTCCTGCTCGGCGTGACGCGCGCCCGCTGACCGGAACTGAAGGGCCGACAGAATGTGTGGAAACAAAGGTCGCCATGTTCCCCTCCCTTGTAAAGGGCACCGCGTACCGCGGCGCACCGCCCCACTGTAGTGTGCCACAGTGTAGCCGCGCCGCCGCCATTCCCAGTTCCTGACGGTGTCGCTCCGTCTCTCTCGCACCCCCACGTACCGCCCTGTGTGTGCGAGAGGGACGGAGCGGCGATGCGATCCTCGGATTCGGGCAGTGCAGGGCGCTGCGCGCTGAATAATGCTACGTACGATGAAAAGATCATCGTAGCGTGCGATCAAATGAGAACGTACGTACACTGTACTAAAGTTCGTCGTCCCTCACGGTTGTAGTAACGAATTTAGCGTGTGCCGCCCTCCTCCTCTCGGCCGGCGTGCCGATTTTTTGCCAACGGCAGCGATGCAGCACCAGAGCCTCGCGGCCTAACCCACTGACGCGTTGCGGCATGGCCGGGCATGGCTGCGCTGCGGCCGAGGCCCGCCCCAAGTGCAAGGCCCGTGTCTCCCTCCACACTGTTAAAAACGGGGGCGGGTGAAAAAGAGACGGCCCGCGGCTCTGGGAACGAAACGCGCTGCGACGGCGGCGTTTTGGCGCGCTGGTTTCCGCTTTCCAGCCACTTCCCTTATCGCTTCCCTCTGGATGGCGGTGCCTGCGTGCGCGGTGCGTGCGGGTGCGTGCGGGGTGCCATCGCCATCCTCGGCGGATTCCAATCTTTCCGCCAGAAATGCAAATGAGGCGCCGCGCCCCTCGCGCTCTGTCTCTCTCGCACTCACGGGGCACTCCACGGGCGTGCGAGGGAGACGGGGAATCCCCGCCGCCGCCAGGCCGCCACCAGCACACACGCCGCAAAAACACACTGGGGCTGGAGGGACGGTCGTTAGTGCTCGCTTTTATTTGCCAGGGGGATTTAAAAGTGGATTTTGCTGGTGTGGGTCCTTCGGTCCTTTCGGTCGTCGAACAGGACATGCGTTGCCCGGAAGGCGAGGCGAGGGGGCCGACGACGCAGCCGGCTGTGATTGGATGATAGCCCCCCCCCCCTCTCCCCCTTCCTTCCATATGAGTAAGTAACCACAACGTGTCAGAACGCAGCGCACGCACTTGCAGCTCCCACATGTGCCTCCGCAGAGGCCTCCGCGCACCAGACCGTCGCGGCGGCGCGGCAGGACTATACAGTGGAGATGCGTCTCCAAGTTTTTCGGCGTCGTCGTGGTGACCCCCCTTTTCCCCCTCCCCGCTCCCCGCCCGCTAGCGGTCCACTGCGCCACAGTCTGCGCCGCCGCGAAAGTGAAGTTTGCGACATGGAGCGTCCCCCGTCTCCCGTCCAGCTCTGCCCTGCAGACTGATTCAGAGAGACGTTTTCCGTCCCTCTCGCCCAGAGCCGCCGTCGCCCTGTCCTTTTGCGAGTTCCTGTGCGCCCCGTTGAGTGGCGTCCATTTTTAGGGTGCCTTTCCACACCGCCGCTGCTGCCGACTGCAGCCGTCGCGGCGCCGGGCTGTGGGACCGATTCCGAGACTCGTTTTCGTCGCCCTGTCTCTCTCGCACCTGTGGGGGGTGTCCCATGAGCGCGACAGAGACGGCGCGACGACAACGACTCTCGGAGTCAGTCTGCCTTGCAGGCCGCAAGCGACTCGCAAGCGAGGCTGCAAGCCACTGCGCCACTGCAAGTGCCGCGGCGTCCTGCGCATCCTTGAATGTGGGTCAACTGGACCCGAGGCCTCGGGCCGCCTCAGGCCTTCCGCCGCGGCGTGCGGCCGTGCGGCGTACTGACCAGGACGTGGGAGTCGGCGCAGTCGGCGCAGTGCCTGACGGCCCAGTGGAAACTCAACAAGTGTTGGTGTAGGCGCGGCGGGGCGTGGCGGGGCGTGGCGGCGGGGAAAACTGCGGGAATCCTGTGCTGTGTGCCGCCACCGCGGCCCCGCGGCCCTGCGGCCCTGCGGCCCTGCCGGTGCACGCGTGTCCCCTCTGCCCCTCTGCCGCGGCGCTGTTGCCGTCCAAATTGTCGGAATGGATTTCGTGATGCCGTCTCCGTCGGGTCGGCCGGCCCCGCCCCGCCCCGCTGGCTGCCGCAGCCGGAGACACGGCTAGGCGGGGCGCGCGGCGGTGCGGCTAAATCCGTCGCGGACGCCGCGGTCCCCGTGGGCTCGCCGTCCATGGTTGAACCTTTTAACGGCGACAACCGTTCCGTTCTCCGCCACACTGCCTCGGCGGGGCGACGCGGGGCGACGACGCCGCACAGTGGGCCAGAAGACCGGCGGCGCCGGCGGCCAAAACTCCAGACGCGCTTTCAGCTTCAGAGTCGCTAAACAGTACTCGAACTGAACGTGTGACCC